TTATTATTATTATTATCATCACCATCCTCATCACCGATATTCCCACTGACCTTGATAGTGCCAGACACAGGATCAATGAGGAACTCCCCCTCGCTCACATCTTCCAGACTGTACGTGATCCGACCGTTGCCCAGAGCGGGATCATCAGGGTCACTGGCTGAGACGGTGGTCAGCTCCGCGCCAAGCTGAAACCAGACACACGATGGACAGATCTTTAGATATGTGCACTTCATCAAGATCCAGATATATGTGTTAAGTCAAGATTCCCTTTATTATCATTTTTATGTGTTGGAGAAATATTTTGTCAATATCGAAATACTAGCTTTTGGAAAGGAAAGAAAGTACATGTAAGCATAAAGGTGAGGCAGCGTGGTGGAATCAGGCTCTCGTCAAAATCATCAAAGTGTAGAAACTTGCATTTTTTCGCGGGTTTGTGAATTTTTCTCAAATTTTTGTTTTTTTACCTCAACACCTTTCATGCCCATTACAAAACTCATTTCTGTGTGGATTTTACTGAAAAGCGTTGATTAAAGGCATAAAAAATGTAAATCTTCAGTTACCACGGACTCTTAAGCTAAGGAAATAACTAATCTTTAGCAGCCATTTTCTCATTAATTTTACCTCTGAAAACAGGTGACTCCACCTCCTTCTTTTGCAAATATCTCGACTTGTATTCAAGATAAATGGATTTTTTTTGCATCCAAATAAAGACAAATGAACAAGCTTTAAGATGATACTAATAACTCTACATACCCAAAAATTGACGAGAGCCTGATTCCACCACGCTGCCTCACATATTTTGTCAATATCGAAATACTAACTTTTGGAAAGGAAAGAAAGTACATGTAAAATTAAAGGATATACAGAGTTGGGAAAAGAATTAAACACATGACTTATTTCTTTCTCCTGAAAATTGTTGCGTTCGAAGCTTAGAATATTTGAACATATTGCCGGTGAACGAAGTATATTCAACAAAACCCTGAAAGTGTGTTTTTATTGTTAGAATGACCACAAAAAAACACAACCAAACAACAACAAGAACAATAACAACAACAACAACAACAACAACAACAACAACAACAACAACAACAACAACAATAACAGCTCAATAGCAATAAAAACAACAACAAAGAAACAAACAAAACTTGTAAAACTTTAGAGGACGAGAAAAACCAAAGTGCGCCAACCATCCGTTCTCTCACCTCGTTGTTCTCCTCTATCCGGGCGTGGATCAGCCTCTCTTTGAACGCAGGCGGGTTGTCGTTCTCGTCCGTGACCTTGACCTGGAACGTCTTGCTAGCGGTCAAGGACGGCTGACCGGCGTCCTCACACTCCACTGTGACGTTGTGCACGCTGATCGTCTCCCTGTCCAGTTTGTGAGCCACGATGACCTTGTACTCTTTGACGTCATAGCCCTGGAGCTCGAAGTACTGCGGGGTGGCCATGCGGCACGTGACGATACCGTTAGGGCCTCTGTCCGTGTCTTTGATGAGGATGTGAGCCACAGCGACGCCTAGATTGGCGTACTCCGTGATAGAGGAAAAATTGTCCGGAGACAGGTAGCTGACTAAGAGTTTGGGTTCGCTGTTGATGGTGTCCTCCACTCTGATGGTCACTGTTGTCGTGGTGGTATACGCCTGGTCACTCGCCTCCACTCTGATGACGTAGACCTCCGTGTCCGCTGTCTGGAAGTCTCCCACCAGCCTCAGCTCCCCGGATGTGGCGTTGAGGGAGAACATGGACATGACGTGCGCTAACTGCTCGGGGAGGTGGTACCGCACTTTGCCGTTGTCGCCCGAGTCCTCGTCCGTGGCCGTGAGAGTGAGGAGAAGCGAACCTTGACTCACCGTCTCGTCGACCGTGCGTGCGTAGTTGGTCTCTGTAAACACCGGCTTGTTGTCGTTCACGTCCTCCACGTCTATCTCCACTGTGAGAACTCCTTCCTTCACCGGCTCTCCGCCGTCGCGAGCGATGATCTTCAGCCTGTAACTGTCTCTCTTCTCGTGGTCCAGCTCGCTGACAACCTCCAACATCAGATTGGAGTTAGATTTGGAGTACGAGAGCCGGAAAGGTCCGTCCGCAGGGAGGATCTCGTAGCCCTGTAGCGAGTTGTTGGACCCTCGGTCCTCGTCAACAGCCGATGGGAGAGGAAACGACGTCGGGATTTGAACCGATTCCGAAATGGTTATCTTAGTGACGTTTTCCCGGAAAGTGGGGGCGTGGTCGTTTATGTCAATGACGTCAACATTCACGAAGACTTTCCGGAAGAACTGGCTGATGGTGGACTGTATGGCCACCTGAAGTTCAAGGACGCAGTCGGCGGAGAACGGACACACCAGCTCCCGGTCCAGCGTCGTTCTCCGCGACAATCTGAGGTCGCCAGTTTTATCATCCAGCACAAAGAGATTCCGGAGGGAGGACTCTGTGTTGAGGAAGCTGTATTTCATCTGGGGCAGGTTTTCCGGGGACACCAGGTTGGCGAGGTCGATGGAGGTGGCGATGTTGCCGATGAGGGAGCCGGGCGGACTGTGCTCCTGCACCGAGTAGTCCACGTCAGCGGAACTCACGCTCGCAGACGACAGGAGGCACGTGACTGCCAGGATGAGCAGCGAGCGCCAGATGGGGGCGGCGGGACGGGGCTGGGGGGAGGAGCCCATGACGTAGACAAGTCGTTCCAGATTTAGATTGAGTTAGGAGATAGGACAATATCGCTGATGACGAGTACCCATGACATAGAAGAAGGCATTAACCGTCCATGGGTGAATGCTGTGCGAATGCTGTTGTAAATAAGTATGCTACAGGTTCATTTCTATAATGCCTGTATGAAATATTTGTCTTTGATCTTGGGTGTGTAGGAAACAAAATAACGTGGCGCTGATTGTAGCACGGATGTGTTTCTGTCAGCCTGACGGTCAGGGCTGAGACAACTTTGGTGTGTCTTTTTCTCCCACGGTGGGTGGTTGTGGGTCAGCTGATAGAACGATCCTTCTGAAATACAAAAAGTGAGAAAAAAACAATTTAAAAATACATCAGATACAGAACAACATTACTGTGGTCTACTTTTGGGGAATGGATAACTTACTCTGAACAGACGAAAGTAAATTCGTGTTTGCAGAATCATTAACTAGAAGTAATCGTTTCTACATTGCCAATATTACGTTTGAAGGAGACTGCACGCACAAATGTCAGTCTTTGAGGGTATTTATTGACCACTCAATGAATGAAACCATCTCCCTAGAGAATGTGAGTGTGTGTCACGTTTTTGTTGAAGCATTTAACAATTTGAGGAAATGTCGCAAGCGAACAAACTTCTTAGGGCACGACTGATTATCACTGCTGTAAGATTCAGCTATTTAAAATAATTGAGCACATACAGAAAAACAAACAGACGAGCACACAAACTCAGTCAGACAAACAGACAAACAAACTCAATCAGATAAACAGATAGAAAGAAGGCGAAAAACTGACGCCTTGGTAAACATCGTAACAGACGCAGCAACGAACAGAGTTAATTGATGGCTGTGCCAGAGTTATGTCAACACACGTATTCTTACGACAGGGAAAGAAAAGCAAAATAACAATACCTTGACACCTCATTTCTTCTTCTGCCTCATCCCCCACCCCACCGCATCCCCTTTCCACCCTCCCCCCTCCCTTTACCACAATCTCCCCCTCCCCCTCCTTTTTCCCCAACCCCCCCCCAACCCCCTCCCTTTTCTACAACCCCCTGCTTTATCCACACCCCACCTCCCTCTCAATGCATACGTGGTCAGAGCGAGTGAGCGGCAGGTTAATCCGCCCCACGCCAGTAATGATACGCTGGCTCGAATCGACACCGTCTTGAATTTCTGACATTTCGTTTCTCAATCGGAAGTCATGGGGCGGCCGAGGACTAGGAGGTAAAAGCCTGTAGGCACAGCTAGAGGCGTAGAAATTCGATCAAGCCTCGAAATTCCTTTTAACTCTTTGCGGACGTAGGGGCTACATGTGTCTGACCAGCAGAAGGCCAAAAGGAGAGCTGAATCACGTTTCCAACCACCATACATAATTAACCTCTTCACTGCTGAAAAGTTTCCATCAACATCTGTACTGACAAGATAAAATGTTAATTCAAGGAATATTTAAACACATAGAATTGTTTTGGAATAAGCAAAATCACCAGCTGTAACTATACAAATAAAACTTATTTTGTCAATCAGATGAAACAATAAGTGGAGAATATAAGCCAGACCAGACCTCTGCATAGCAGCGAAGAGGTTAATAACAAGCACACTTGGTCGCTTTGCCTACACCAAAAGTGGGCATTGCCCTACCTATAGGAGAAGTTTGGTTTCATTGGTGTGTATATTTGGTTGGCTATAGAGAAAACTCTCCTTATCTTTTAAAGAAATTGAACAAGGGGCAAAAACTGTACTTTCGATTTTCTCAAAACAGCATTTTTCGGGATAGCCCCCTTACTTGTGCTTAAAAGAGACAACATAATTTGCATACTTCATAGTATGCTTGTTATTGCCTGTCTTTTTTTTAACGTTACAGTTAGTTTAACTAAGGAGACAGCTATTTGGAAAAGGAATTTATGCGCTATTTTAGTCTTTTAGTAGAATGACCAGAGCACGCGTCGTCAAAAGGTTAACTCTTTGATTCCGGA